TCTCAATTAACTTCTCCAGGGGCGTCGGGTACTTTAATTAACTGTTTAATTTCATTTAATTTGCATTTGCAATTGCATAAGCCGGGCCAAGTGCCGCGACTGCGTTGCATTTTCTTGTATAATAAACCAATGAAGTCCTCGGAATATATTTGAATCATATCGAGAAAAATGCAAGATACTCATTACAACAGGAATGCCATTTATTTTCTTTTTTGCGCGCCACACTGCAACTTCGGACTTTTCTAGTTTTCATGCACAGACTGAACAAATTGCTTTCTTTTATGTTTTTTTTTTTTGTCAGAAGTGCATCTTATAACTTTAAAAAATACTTTAAAAGCCATTACGTTTTTATTCACTATAAAAATTGTTTTACACACAGTCGTCAAAAGACAATCGGAGAAGAAGAAAAAAGAAGCATGTACGGAGAGATAAATTTTTAAATGTAATAGATTAATTAAGATATTAAGATTATTTACAAAATGCATACTTGTTATTACTTTTCCATATTAAATTGTGTTATATTTTATCTCACGCACATAAATATTCACACAGACGTTTTCAAAGACTGATAACTGTTCTTTATATCGGCGAACACTTTTCCAAAAGCGTAAAGAATCCGTTTTGCATTGGTTTTTATTGCAAGTGCGCTAATTTACATCGCGAGCCACTTACTCACGCGTGGCCGCGCAAAAAAATCGCGCATCCGCACGTGCAAATGTATGCAAACGTAGTCGGCACCGCGAGTCTCTTACGCGTTGAAGCGCGGCACTTTTCTCGGAAACAAAGCGCGCTGACAAATTTGTAGCCTTGCTAATTCATTCGAGACTTCTTGGCTGAAGCACTTTGTCGCGCGAGAGTCGTCGTCGTATCAAACGCGCACGCACACAAACGATGCGCGCGTGAATGCGCGAAAAATACAGGCCTCACACTTTAAAGTACTAATCAGTATCGATCTGTTACTGAAGACCGTATCCCTTCGCTTTGTCACTCCGCTCTATTTTTTCCGCTTCGTCGCCGCGACTTTTCAGAGGAAGCCATTTCGCACAGGGGCGAGTACCAATGACGGACGTCGACGGGTTTGACTACGTGCGAAGGCAGAAACGCGAATATATATACCTATATGAGTTCGAAGCTTTCGATGACACTTTCGATTCGTCGATTTGCGCAACAACCGCGGAGCATAATCCTTTTGCCTATCGAATGGTCTGGAAAGCAATTTTCACGTGAGCGCTTCTTTCATAAAGACATATTGAATTTATTGTGTTGCACTTATTGTGTGAATTTCGGTATTTCGATGTCGCATTCAAATTTCGCAATTTCAAGAACTCTTGGATGTAAAGTTTCATAAAAATGGCAGCAAATTCTCTTTCTACACACATATCTATATTCATTGCAAGCAAAAAATGTAATATTTACATTGAAGATTAAATTAAAGTTACACGAAGAGTTAAATTTATGTTTCATTCTTAACAATTTTTAATGTGTTATTTAAATGTATGTTAATTGAATACTGAACAAAATAAAATTAATTTTTCTTTTAATTTATTATCAACTATACACATACATAATATTTGCGTATCCAATATTTATATTATTTTAAGATAGTTCCAACGATTCCTCAAGGTATTCAAGATTTATTTGAAACTTTAAGAAATAAATGTATATACAATCAGGCAATCTTTCAAATTTTTTTAGAATTTTTTCATAGTTATTAAAATAACCTTTTTGTTAACAATGTGTATATCGTTTACGTGTGAAAAGTACAGTCAAGTCAAATAAAAACTGCTTTGTCTGCTGATTTTACAGCATTTTCTTTATACATCTAGCCCTACTTATTTTCAATATTTTTGTATCGTTGAAATTACCTTAAAAGAATTAAAAAAGAATTTATTATTTTTTTGTGAACGATTTTATTGCTTATGTTATTTGTATTATGTGCAAATCAGTCTCGCAGAAAACAAAAAGATTCGGTACAAGCAGAAACATTGCCTATTGTGTCGCGCATAAAGCAGTTTGAAATGCTTGCAGTAGTTGCAAACGAGGAAGGCAGTCAGAACTCGCGTTGTTCTAAAAACTCCGAGCAATTCGTAAAATCGTTTGATTCGCACTTTTATCTTCCTAGCAGTCGTGGCTCGAAGTTGCTTTTTCGTACCGTTTAATGTCCGTAATCAACTAAATTGCCTATCAACATCTGAGAATCCCTCTCATGCGCTTCTTTTCCCAGCGGTTTTTTTCCTTCACCTATCGTTCACGTATTTTTCTTGCCTGAGCTCGTTCCTGGTGATAGTATAGTTTACTGTGACTCGTCATTCTCAATGTTGCATCTCAATATGGTTTTCTATCTTATGAGACTTTAAATAATTTTATTAATAAAAAGGATAAGCTTGTCAGTTACGACTTTTGCAACAAAAATAATTTTTTAATTTTAAATTCTTTGCTACTGTCTAAACTTTTATACGCACCAGATTGTTTTTCATAAAACTAGAAATAAGCGAGAAAATTACAACGAAAATTAACATCGATAAATCATATCTAATAGTTCTTCTTTTTTAACTTCCTGATGTGACGCTGAATTTTATTTTCATATAATTTTTTTATTTATTGTAGTTGGTTTCGTGCAATAAAATATAATAAACAAAATTTTAGATGTACTATAGTTGGATAGATAAAAGCGTGCAATAAAAGCGTTCAGGAGTTTTAAATCGATGTGTTTATCATTAAAAACGAAGCGAACGGTTCGTATACTAACGGTAGTAAGATCCTTGGCCTGTGCCCTCGTCTTTAAATCTGCCTAAGATTTAAGACAAAAACGAACGAACAGAGCACACCGAGTAAATGCTGTAAGACAAGGTGCCAGAGAGCGACGTTTGAATGGAACGGCAGATCTTTTGTCCCGCGTCGGGAATCCGATACCCGAAAATCGTTCTCAAAATTCGTTCTGCGTCGCAAAATTTAACGCTATGTTAGAGCTACTCGTTGAAATCAACTTCTACAATTTAATAAAAATTAAACTGGCACAAATTTCTATGTAATAAGATAATTTGCGTAAGTGAAATATTTCAAAGTTCTAACGCAGACATTAAAAATGTAGCGTAAAAATTTTATTATATACATACATTCATACAACTCATATTCATAAATATGTATATCACACAAAAAGAAAATAATGCATCTATTACACTTTAATTAAAAAATCTGATGTAATTTTTTAATTTATGTGAATCGTTAGTGAATCGTTTGTGCTATTGATGATAATATATACACGTATTATATACACATTTCTCACTTCTGCATTAACTTAATAGAAGTTGATATGTGGTATTATTTTAAAAAATCAAGTTAATATTTGTAAGTAAATAAAATATTTAATGTTCAATAACTTTAATGCTTTAAAGTGTCGACGTCACGAACATGCAGGTTGAGAACAATCGGGTGGAACAAATGGCCATTTTGTCGACGCTCTTTGTGCTATGGTGAAACATTGCAGGCCTACTTAACACTCAACTCATTATACCACTAATTATTCATAACGTTAGGGATTATTCTGACGAAAATAATCAATTCCCACACGGTGTGCCCGCTTCTCTTCGCCTCTTTTCTTTCTTTTTTTTTTTTTTTGTCATCTAATATCAATATTCATAAAATATACGCTTTTCTTGTCAACAAAAATTGATTACAATCTTTGATATTTTATATAAAGCATTACAATATTATAATATTTTGTTAATTGCTTGTATTTTAAATGCAGAGAAGAATAATATAATGTGAGTATGAAATGCAAATATAAAAACTTGTGCTTATGCGCATTGCTATTTGATAAAAGACACAATTGCACTTGTGAAAGAATTATACTAGAACTTTTCGAAGAAATTTTTGCAGAATAATATAAATTATAACCTATGCGATATTTACTAAATAATCATCGTAGAAAATAAAATTGTATTTTACAAGTAAACAAATTTTTAAACGAATTACTTTTTCACATATAAACAAATTAGACACAAAAAATTTAATTTTTGAACTACTAGATGCATCGATTTCTGCTTTATTTAGAGGTAAATTACTATGCCTATATAATACAAATAAAAGTTTCTACTTTGATCGAGTGCGGATGTTCGAAAGCACATAATTGACGTTTGTGTGCATTGAAAATATTACAATAGCTATGCAGCTGCCGATTGAATAGAGTTTTCCCAAAAATTTCCACAGATTCTGTTAACGGCGTACAATGTCGACGGCGTGCATGGATGCGCGACAAAGGTATATGTCAATTTTCGGTAACCTGATCTTGAGTAGCTCTCTGTTAAGTGATAGCTATAAGTGGCAGTTAAGTGCTCGTTTCACGCCAGGACGACAATACGCCTATTAATTTACTTCGATGCTCGTGGAACAGAGGGTCATAAGTTCAATCTTGTCTACAATTAACGCACAGTTTCCCGATATATATTTGCTGCTAGATGATACTGTGCAAAAGGAATGTATTGATAGCATTGTGCATTATGATCATATTACCTATGTATTAACAGTGATAGTTATTTGTAAAAATTGTTTTTATAGCTCTCAAATATCTCTCTCTCTCTCTCATATTGAATAAAAGTTTTTAGTAAATAACATGTGATCGCTATAAATATTGTAATGCTTTATAAAGAAAATAACTCACTTTTTGTAGAATAAATTAAGTGACTACTTAACAGTTTGCGAAATTGCTATAACAAAGGTTTCACAAAACAATCGTATATTGCTAAAAACACAGCGTAAATAAAATTTGAAGTCACTGTTACGGTGAAAATAGGAGTACATCCTGTTACGGAAACTCATCTTGTGCTTAGCTCTTACAGTGGAGTTAAAAATTTAATATAGAGCCGCACAATTCGAAATACAACGCAAAAGATTTCATTCTATTATTCGAATTGTTAGAAAAAAAAAAAAATCAGAACAGCAGACGTGGCTGCAACAAACCCGGATGGTGATTGCTGAGCAGAGAATCAAAATTGACTCACCGTGAGGCGGCGTGTGCTGAGTTGGGCTATGCTGATGATGATTCGCGGTGACGGCCGTGCCAGGAAGTACGTGCTGCGCATGTGCTGCAGGATGCAGGTTAACGCCGGGCGGCGAAGCCGGAAGTTGGCCCGATTGATGCACCTGATGGTGCGGTACGTGATGAGCCGGGTGGGGGTGAGGCGGCGGCAGAAAGGCGGCTGCGACGGCCGCCTGCGCGTTCAGGTAGGCCATCCTCGAGGCCGTGAGATTGCCTAGATTCCCGAGATTTCCCAGATTCCCCAAATTGCCCAAGTGATTCAGGCCGGGCATGTACTCCCATAATTTCGAGTGATGCGGCGCGGCCGGGGCGTAAGAGACCGCCGAGACCCCGGCGGGCGGTGAACCTTGCGGCGACCCGCGATCGGTCCCGCCGCTTCTGTTTCCGGTGCCATCCAAGCCCAGCAGCTCCTGAATCGCGAAGGCCGATCGTTGCTGTTGCTGCGGCATCTTTTTATTTGATATCAACGACGGACTCAGAGCGACATCCTCGGCCACGGAAGAAGGTGAGGGAAGGTTGATTCCCGTTGCTTCTCAAACCGCGAACTTGGCAATAGGCGCGCGATAAAAACTCTGCGAGGGAACACGAGCCGTACGGAGCCGCCGGCCGCCGCGGCTCTGAATGCGCATTCGAGAACGCGAAACTTATGTCTACGGTGTCTCCTCGGTTGCTTGAATCGCGAAGCGATTAGGTCTTTCGGATTAATCGTTGTTTAATCTTCTCAGAAGGCTCTTCTTTCAATGTTTAGGAACTCAATCAAAGAGAGTCGTTGTATTTCTTGAATTTTTATCAATTCTATTTCTTCTTTCTAGCTCTTACACGGATAATATCGTAAGATTTCTCGTGCGACTTACAAAGCCGATGCTTTGGTGCGATTTTTTACTTACGGAACAGCCCGTCTTTGCAGTTTATTCTAATTGGTTTTCCTTCCTCTTCTTTTTCGTGGTTTTAAACACAGAAAACAGTGAATATTGCAAAATCGTTGGCGCCGCTTATGAAGTCGACGGTACTTTCAGTGGGATTTCTCACGAAGTTGTTGAAACAGATGAAACATTGTCTTCATAGTTTATTCTAATTGGTTTCCTTTCTTTTTGTAAATTAAACATAGAAAGCAGCGAAATTTTCGATGTGATTTACAAAGTTAACATTGCTTTCAGTGAGATTTTTCGCAAAGTCGCCGGAACTTTGACTTTAAATTTGACAAGCCTTGACATTACGCTCGCTGTCTGCCAACAATTATTGATCGCAGGAATATTTGTTTGAAATTACAAAGATTTGCTTTAAAACTGTTTGAAAATTTGATTTCTAGTCGTATCGCGTGCAATTGGCATGAAAAAAAGCCGAGCGACATGAAGATCTAACAGATTCTAAGTGTTTTTATGCATGTCCATAAAAATTGAAATTTTTGAACCAATACCTGTGCGTCAACGTGTTCGACGGCGGAATATCAGTTGTTTCGATTTGTTATATCTTCGTTGTACTTCGGGTAAATTGTCGCTGGCAAACAAACTTTCGACGATATTCGCTGACCGTCGGCAACGTGCGAACAATACGCGTTCTTCAAATGGAGCGCGGAGTTTTCGATGTTTTCTCACTCATATTACAACACTCCACGATTTTTATTTGTCGCTTGTCTTTCACTTCATTAAAACGAGCGTTTCGTTGTAATCAGGTACGAATTATTCTGTCTATTGCTCGTCGCGATATCGCTCCATGCGATATCTTTTCTCGATTTCTCCAAATTCAAATTCAATTCGAAATCTGAATTCGAATTAAACTTGAATTCTCTTTATTCGAAGCTTCGCCTCTCCTTGACATACGCACATAGAACACGCGCACAAGAAGGCCGTGCAAATGGTAAAATTTCAATCATGGAAGCGCGTGCAAGCTGGAGCGAGCTGCTTCATGCGGTTCCGCGGAACCATTTTCCTTCATTCTCTTCGAAAAGGGATTGATGTCAAGGACGAACCAGGATGATGCTGACGTGCCGAAACCTTGATGATTGTTTTTTGACGTGAACACGCCAACGGAATGATCAAGAACTGATTGATGCTGGAATTTCTGGAGTTCTGGCGGCAAAGTTTGTTAGCGTCTTTGACAAGAAGCGCCATATGTAGTCATATTATCGGCAATTGAGGTTAGATTTTTTCGCGTCACAAAACAATGCTCGGTGCGAGATCGGAGTTTTTCGTATTTCGTTGGATGGGGCGCGCGCACGAAATTATCGTCCCCGGTTGCGACTTCACGTTCGAAGAGGCACGACGTAACGCAAGCGGAGGGTAGGTCGCCCCGGAGGGATGATCCCGGCGTTGAGCGAACTCGTAGTGCAACCGTATCGTCGTCGCGGCGTTAGGCAACTGAACTGTCGTGCAGCGTGGGGTTGCTCGGATGCGCGACGGCGAACGAAGAAGGGAAACCTCCGGGGGCGGCTGGTACGAATGCTAACGTGCACCCACACACACGTTACTCCTCGCACGAGAGAGCGGAGGGTGGTGTTTCGCCCCCATCCGCGCTCACCGACTCGCCGTCACTCGTCTACCCCTCTCTTCCGCCTTGCTTGCCACCTCTCTCTCCACTTCGTCCTGCGTTTCGTTCTCCGTCCTGCAACCCCTCGCGCGCGGACCTGAACGACAAAGGCGCCTCCGCTACTTTACGCAGTTGGCAGTGGCCGTCTCGTATCGCGGATTGGTCGGCTTTTTGAGACGGCCAGCCGAGTAGACATAGCCCTATTTACCAGCACGAGAAGGTGGGGTTTAGCAATGTCGACGCCTCGATGGCGGCTACGCCTACGGCGGCGGAGTGGTTCACCATGGAGAAAAGAGGGACTTTTCGCGCCTGGTGACTGTCGCGGATGCTTTGGAGAGCTCGAGCTCTCGGCCAGGCAGCCGTGAATAAACGTGAACCTAGATTGCGAGATGGTGAAGTGTAAGAGTCTGGCTCTCTGTGTGACCTCCGATACTTTCTTCAATCTTATTTTTATTGTTATACGAGTTATCTTATAGCAGTATATAAAATAATAATAATAATACATTTTTTAATAAATAAATTTTACAAATGAATTAATTGTACTCATTTTAATTAACAAAATCTTTCTTCAAAATTTACGACTTCATTGAAGCTCTGTGAAAACGACAGGAACCATTGTCATTTATTTCGTGTCTTCTGACTTTTTGTGCATTATGTACATTGTGCATTATGATAATACATTGTAAAAAGAGAAATGTCGAACAGAATTTTCAGCGTAACACATGACATTAGTTAGGCAAATAATTTATCAATTTATTGTTACAGCACAGATCTGTGATAATGGCTAGATTTATTAGATTACAGATTCATGATGTAACGAAATTGTTTATTTAATTAATTGATAACATGAGCTGAAAATGATGTGGATCATATTGAATTCATTGCACTGCCATTATATCATAAGCTATCGGTATTTCCAGGTAATTATAAATGTGCGCTCTCACGTTTCTATTGTTGAATAACTCATCCGTAATACCACAATTACGAATATCAAATGATTATAATGTATGTTTCATTATGAAGGCACTTTTCATAATATCGACTAATCTTTTGTCGTAAGATTGATATTGCTACTCGAATATTTATAAAACGAGAACATTTGTATTTATTTTTATAACAATAAGCAATTTATAAATTCTTTTATATAATGACATATCAAATGTGTTTTTACTATTATATGATGCTTATTTCATATTTTGATACTCAGAATTATGTTTTCTGTTGTTTTTCTTTTTCTTATTTGCATAATATAAATATATAGCTACACATATATACGTATAAAAATGTATTACATTAAGACGATTGTATATATAATAAACTTACCAATTCTTTATATATTTGACATAAATCACAGAGAATAAATATACACATGGTTTATACAATAATAACATCAATATACAATCGATATCTACAAGAGTGCATTGAAATCATAGCTACAGTGCATTTTTTATGTAAGTATTTTTTTAACTTTGTATCATAAATATCAGTTATTATCTTTGCATGACAGAAGCTAAATTCGAACATCTAGCATCGTTGACATGCACTGCGTCATATGAAGTAACGATTGTGGCGTTGTGAACTGGTTTTCGTTCGGAGGCTTTATTAACACTGTGGGAGTGGTCTGGGCAGCGGCCAATCAAAACGCGCCATTTCCACCCCTCATTGGCCGGGGTACAAATCGATTTATAACTTACTCCGACAGTGAACGAGCGTGGATATGCGCTCTTAATGCTGCTTTGCTTAAGGTTGACTCTTCCAGCAAACCCCCATTGCGACTTCCAACATCGCCAATTCAACCGTACGGTAGGTGGTGGTGGGCTTGCTGGCAGCTGTTGACGGGAGGCTGTTGGATGATAAGGGCAAAAACATTTGATTCCCGACGATAATGTCGAAGAGTATTTTTTTCGAAAGTCCTGCCCTGCAGTCAAGTCTGTGATTAATATAGAGCTATTTTTGAAAGATAAACATTTCTCTGCGCTCTTTTACTCTTTCTTTTTCGTGAACAATCGCAAAAAAGCAATTGTAGTACGGCGCACAATGGCACAAAGTTTAGCATTCGTGTAAACGGACCGGAGTTCCATAGTCCGGAGGTCTCTTTGCAGCCGAAGAAATGTCTCGCGTTTGTAGCTTTGTTTCGCTGAAAAAATCCCTGACTTCTTCATTCATTTTCTCAGTCTGTAAGAAAAGTACGGCACAAGTCGGACCCTCCTTCGCGACTCGCTCTTATTCGCTACTAACATCAAGGGATTATTGTGCATTTTGCGCTGCGTTGCGTTTGCAAAAGGCGCTAACTCGCAGCGGGGGAGAAGCTTCCGTTGACGCGTCGCGCTGCTTACGGAGACGTATTTACGTTTAAGCCACTGTGCTTGAGCGTACCTTCGGCACTTCAACACATTACAATTTGTTATATTGTCGTGTATTGAAGCCGACATAATTTCGACAAATTCATATTACTACAATACAGACATGCGAAAATGCGCGATCTCTCAATTTATTTGTGTGAATGGAAACAAGATAATGTGCGGGGATTAAATTATTTAGTCGAGATATTACATTATCCCCATATATTACGGTGCAAATTTAAGATTGCAAACCTTCTGCACAAAACAGTTCGATTAATCTTACTTTTAATATTGAATATATAATCTTGTTATTTTATTCCAAATATACATTCATAAATAGAATAGCGGTGTCATAATGCAAATAAAGAAACATATCAAAAGATGAAATTATATGATCAAGTCCACAAAATCATTAATTTTGTAATTAATATTTTATACTTTTGTTTGACACAAATTCTATGTTAACTTTTGACAAAAATAAAAATATATAAAATTAACAAAAAGTAATTACTTGTATAATTAATGTGTAATTTAAATGCCGATTAACGGGGAAATTAATAGTGTTTAAATGACAGCGGTGGTTTTGCATTATCCAAAATTTCGACGCTTCTAAAGTATTGCAACTAATTTTATACTTCCTGACAGCGTTTGGCGCGAATTTCCTGTCGTATAAAGTAAATTATCCTGCTATTGTAATTAGATAAATTAACAGACCGTGAGCGGAAGCACCGTGTTCACACGGAGAACGGGGCTATATGCGCACAGTGAAACGAAAGGACTCTTCTCTCTTGGAGAGTCCAGTTAGTTGAAATTCACTACTATCACTTAATTTACTATCCATATGTGAATACAATTATCCCGCAATATTTTTAAATATTACGGTTGATAACAATGATTAAATATCACTCCAAAAACTCATCAAGAAAGTTGAATTATTAATTAATCTATTAATTAACTTATTAAAAATTTAAAGATTGAAATGAAAGATGTCAATATTGAACACAAAATTGCATAAGAAAATTGAATACAATGACATAAAATAAATGTGAAAAAAAAATTAATTTTACAATTATTGCATTTACTTGACTTATTTTACATATCTAATATCTGTTTAAACTTAATTTAATTTTAATCATTTTTTATTACAATAGTGACTTTTGAATTATATCCGCAATTTCTTCCTGGAAATCTGCATTTTTACGTGAATTTTACAAAAATCCTTGGTTACTAAAACGGGTATTCAAATGAATTGTACTTGTGTGATCCCCGTTGAGGGAGGTTTAAACTTTAAAAGATGCGATTTGCCCCACTAAAGATATTTGCTGCTGGTCTGCGGGCGGACGCAATCTCATGCGCTCGCTAAGACGTGCACAATAGACCGAATTTAAAACAATCCGTAATCTGTTGAGGCAAGTAGCGGCCCAATCAGGTTTATTGATCGTTGATGAAGAAATTGCATTCAAGTAAAATATTTTTTAAAATTTTTTGTTTTCAAAGACATACGCAGATACAATTACACGTATAAAATTGTTGAGTTCTTTTAGAAATCAAAAAGAAAATCAAGAAAATATTTGAATTATGTAGCCTTTAAACATTCTTTATCTCTTTTTTTAACTTTTATATGCAAATGTGATATACTTAAAAATTTAATCGATATATTCGTATCATTCATGCACGTACGTTATATTTAAAGGTGTAAAGATCTAAAAGTTTTTTTATAAAAATTTTAGCACAATAGAAATAAATAATGAAAACTTGTTATGGTTAAAGATCGCGTGTTACAACAATTTTGATTTTATTTTCGAAAATACCCAGTAATATTCCAGCGTTTCTCCTCGCAGAACGAAGCATAAGTACTCGCATTTGCAAACTCTCGCGAGAAGCACATTTACTTGCACATTTATGAGAAATTTCTGCACGATCGCCACTTTAGCCAACTTGCTCAACTGTGGAGTCTCATAAATTAATTTCTCAAATCAGATTTTCTCGAAGAAGTTTGCTGCCAATATCGATAACTACATCCGTCTCTTTTGCACACGTACACGTGATGTATACACGTACAAGTGCAGAGCCGCGAAGATACCGGCGAAAGGATCTCGTTGCCTTGCCAATCCTCTTTTCGAGAACATTTTCGCCGAGTCTTGCAAAATTGTTAATCCCAAGCTTTTCCAATTACACGAACTCTCTCATACCTCCCACCTATTTCCTCCGTACTTTCTCTTTCTCTCTCTCTCTCTTTCTCGCGCTCTCTCTCTCTCTCTCTCTCTCCTTTTCTCTCTTCCTCTCTCTCCTTCTCTCTCGCTCTCTCTCTATATCTATATCTCTATCTATCTATCTTTCGGCTCTTTGTAAGCGAAAATATTCAATTCGGACGTTAAATTCAATTACAGCATTCCTGATTAATCCTAAGTATCCTCTGCTGAAGGAAGAAAGCCCGCCGTCTCTCCTTCCACGGATTCCTTCCTTCGGACGAGCTGGATCTCTTTCGGCTTAGCCCGTCCTTGAGTTGAATAACTGTTGCGAAGGATGTCCGACCATT